TCCCACTCCCTTTAGAAACAGTTCATTACAGACTGGTAAACCTCTGCCCATCTTTATTTCTGACCAATTCAGCCGAAATAAAATGTACTTTTTTTGTTTCCAGTTATAATTAGTTGCTAAAGTCAGTCCCAGCTGGTTCTTATTCTTATCACTGAATTTTACAGCTTCGGTCATCAAACTTAAATGATTTTTATTCCTCACAAACTTTTAATATGTTTACCGTGTTCCAATGTGAACAAAGCATGGGGTTTATAAGGTTTTCAAATCCCTGCACTTTTTTGTTTGTTTGTTTGTTTGTTTATTATTAACCTGTCCCACTGAGATCACAGATCTCTTCTGTAAGGGAGGCCTGGACGTGCATGTTTTTGGACGTTGGGAAAAAAAAAACACGCAAACACGTGGAGAACAAACAAACGCCACACACAAAGGCTCCAGGTCCAAACCAGGGATTGAACCCATGACCTTCTTGCTGTGAGGCAACAGTGCTAACCGCTGTAGTTAAGCTGCCCAGTTTATTGATTTTCTTTTCAAAACTCTGTTTTCTTCTTTTCATCTTTCTATCCCAGCTGCACTTTTACTCCTCTGTTTATTTCACCGATCGTTCTTTCTGGACGTGAGCTTCATTACAGGATTACTGACTCCATGTTGGTTTTGAGTTTCACTTTACTTTCATGAAAAACTAATGAAAACTAATTCAAGTTTTTCATCCAGTTGTACTTAAACACACTGAAGGTCGTCAGTGGCACATTGCTGTGAGAAGGTTTTTATCAAATGCCTTCAGATGACTCCCCCCACCACCGACCCCCAACCGCAGGCTCCCAGTCTGCTCTGTTTCCATAAACAATAATGGCTCAGGCCCCCGAGCCCACGAACCCACTGCTGCGGTAAACAGGAAAACATGTCCTGCAAACAAATCCTAATCTGTTTTGGTTTCATGAAATCTCGCCTCAGAGAAACATTCGCATTCGTCAAGATTCATTTTCCTTTACTCCGATTCTTCTGCGTTTCATCTCACCGACCTAGTTCGAGTTGAATCGTGACGGGAAAAGTTTTATTACAAAACACGAGCAGTTTTGCAGCATCACAATGTGAAGTTGGACGATTATTTTTCACGTTTACTTTTTTATAAACCAGCTACCAGCCAGAACTGTGCATCGAGTTAACTGGTTATCAAGAAGCAAGCAAAAGCTGCTGCAGTTAAAACCAGATCAATGCTCTTCATCATCAATCATTATAAGTCAATTACACCCGTCTGTTTGTTTGTCTGTAGTGTTAGCAAAATATCTCATGAACCACTCAACAGATTTTATTGAAACCCATTGAGTTTTACAACTGACTGACTCTCAGAGTTAACCCAATTCAATATGGCCGCCACAGCAAAGCAATCCTTAAAGCACAAAAATGGGAAGAAGTTAATAAATTTCCCACTTTTTGTGCAAATATTTGGTTTGGTAGTTGCAGAGACTGAGCCCAAACTTATAATGTGAGCTCCAACTGAATGAGCCTAATGCTTTGCTAATAAAATCAGCAATGTCTGTTAGCAAAATGTATCATAAAACACTGGACGGATTTTAATAAAACTTGCAGAAAGAACTTTATGGATATATGTCTATAATTGATTTTATTTTGAAGTTACCTCAATTCAAGATGGCCGCCACAGCCAGTTTAACTTTGAAAACACAAGGAATGACTTTAATTTGGTTGACTGAAATATGATGTGATAGTAACTGAGCATTGTCCACAACACATATTTTAAATATAACACTTCATGTTTGCTTAAAAAAAATGTTTTCAACTGTGGTATCCTGTTTGTTTGTTAGCAAAATATCTGATGAACCATTGGACATATTTGAATGAGACGTTCAGAAATCATAACTGATTAACTTTTAAAGACAATCTTACTTAAAATGGCCACAACAGGTAATTGATGTTAGCAAGCACTAAATTGGCTACAACTCTGTGAATTTAAGATATTTGTAAACTAAATTTGATGTGATAGAACCAAAGAGTCATTCACAACCCAAACCCCAAGCACCACCAGATCATGCATGGTCTGATGTTCAAGGTTCAACTAAAACAGACTTTCTCAAGATTATCTGATCTTGGTCTAAAATTCTGGCATAAAAGGAAGAGAGCAATATGAGTGTCATCAAATAATGCTTTTATTAAATTAATTTAAAAAAGAAAAACATTTAAAAAGGTTTAATTGCCGTCTTTGAGTTTTAAAGCTCAATCCTGCATCATAAACACACAAAGTCAGTCTCTAAATAAGCATCTGTCATTTCTGACTTCTGTAAGTTCTCTGAAAAGTTTATAGAGGAAAATTATTTAACAAATCTCCACCATCAGCTGAAGGATTACAACTTTTTGAAAACGTCTCCGGTCACTTCACGAGGCAGACGCACAGATTCTAAAGCTTCAGGATTCTCTGAAAGCATCACGTTTAGAGAAGATCAAATCTACCTGTACAGGCAACGTTTGGACCGGTCCCGCTCACCTTGCGTCTGCAAACAGATGAGAAGAAGCAGGAAAGTCCGTCTCGCGTCAGGTTCCATGTCTCCTCTGTCCGGACTGGAGGTGGAAGACTTTAACTGAGCGACACAAACAAAAAGTGCATGGGGGGGGGGGGAGGAATGAACCCGTCTCCCCTGGTTCCGACCTTCTCACTGTGCCGCTGCGCTCCGTTTCGACAGGATCCGAACTTGGCTCGGTTCGTCCCTCCCCTCTGAGAGCTCCCCGCTGACGCACGCGTTCACACACGGGGAGGGATTGAGATCCCGCGGCTGAGAGAATTAAAAAACACCCCCGAAGCTAAAAATGAACGATGCTCAAGCACTGAAGTCAGTTTGATTCGTAACTTAGAACATAAAATATTGAATTACTTTAAAGACAATTAATTTAATTTATTGGAAAGTTTCTGTGTGGACGCGCAGACAGATGTGGGAGTAAATGACGTGTGAAGACGCGAGGAGTCGTTTCAGCACCACGGAGAGCGCCGTGCTGGTGCGGAGCGCTCTCCGTGGTGCTGAAACCAGATCCGACGCTTTCTGCTCCACGAGACAGCTGCGTGGTTCAAACGTCTGCTCGTCCTCGTGAACTAAACCCACTTACTGATTCACTTACAAATATTTAATCGAAGCTTGTTGTGTCTTTTCTCCGCCACCAAACAGCAGCACTGCGCTGCGCTGAGGAGCTGATCTGTTGGACGCCGCGGCCCCCCAGTGGCCCGTTCACCAGTTTTCAGATCTTTCTGATTAGGTTTCATTTTAGCTGCTGGTTTCACGCGCTGGGTGTGACGTCATTAACCAGAAACCAGCTGAGCAACAAAGGAGACGCAACTGTGGGCGGATGTGCTGCACGAACAGGCAGAAGAACGATTTTATTTTGGTTATTATGCTGTTGAGTCTCTTTTTAAACGTTTTTCTAAATGCTGATTCGCATGCAAACAGGAAGCAAAAGTGCCTTAAAATACAATATTTGTTCTATTTTTAATTAGTATTATTATTTTACTTTTGAAGTTAACCCCATTCAAGATGGCCGCTGCAACTAAGCAACTTCAGCAATAATATATATATTTGAAAACACTAACAGATAATTTTAGAGCTAACAGACCAGGTACGATCTGTTCTTAAAACGTAGCCACTAGAGCACACGTGTCAAACTCATGGCCCGGGGGCCAAATGTGGCCCTTGTTGACATTTTGTCTGGCCCCCAAGATGCTATGCTAAATGTAAAATACGTTTATTGTTTGATTTTTTTTCAGTAATCTTTGATTACGATGTCAAAAGTGCGGAGGGGAACGTCAAATGAGACCATTCAAACTCTTGTTGAGAAACCTGCAACCAAGAAAAGAAGTCGGGGATCTAACTTGAATTAATGTAGATTCTGAAATCAGCACTTATTTTGAAAATGGGTTTGATTTTGCCCCCCTTTTGTAAGTGAGTTTGACACCCCTGCATTAGAGTAAACTGTATATGTCTGTTAGCAAAATATTTCGTTTTAATGAAACTCTCAGAAAGCAACAGCCGGATGTGTCTACGACAGATTAACCTCTGGAGTGAATTTAATCCAAGATGACTGCCACAACCAACAGACCTTAGGGAACACATTTACTTATAACTCTGTTTTACATGAATGGAGCTAAAATGTTTTGTGGTTTTAGAGAGAGTCGTCCTTACAGCACTCTTTGAGCAGCAACAGAACTCATGAGGACTCACAATTTCACATGAGATCACGAGTGTCGTCATTTACGAGGTTTGACCAAAACAGACGTAATTCTGTATCAGTATGCGATTATTTTAAGTTTAAAAGTCCGCCATGAAAGGAGGCGGTGGGTGACATGCATTCATTCAAGGCATTCTTTCATAAATCAAAATAAAATCTGTTTTTAATGCACTATGATAAATATTAATCAAAAAGTACAATTTTAGCAAACAGATTTTTTTGGGGTCTAACTCCATAATTTTGCAGGTAAATTTAGTCAACTGCAAGTTTTCACCCATTAATTTAGAGATTGGCTTTGTTTCTTTTACTCGTGACAAGCAAAAAGTGATTTTTAAAGCATAGTTGTTTTATTTTTCTAATTTCCAAATCCAAGACATTTGGAGCCTTGGACCGGGTGGATTTGTTGCTTTAGTTTGCGGCACTGCGGCGCTGACAGGCTCGTTTATGACATGACTTACCTTCTTGCTTGTTTACTGGTTCTTTTTGTTGGGAGGTTGTAAAAGATGCAACTGCAGTTTCTAATTCATCACAATCATTTTTCCAATGTTTGATTTGTCAGCAGAGATTGCTGATTCCAAGATAATTTGCAGCGGCTGAGGCACAACAGCTAAAACCCAATAAAAATCACACACAGAAAACTGACAATATAGACCCCTAAAATTATAATACTTGCATTAAATGTTCCTATATTTAAAAAAAAAGAAATGCTTAGAATGTGAGCATTTATACTGCAGGCACTAAAACACATACATCATGTCAGAAACACATCTGGATGCACATATTAGCCCTACTGTGGCACATCTATTGAAAAAGATTCACATGTACGAAGCAGCTGACGTCAGAGATTCAGGATCAGCTGTAATAAAATATAAACCTCTGCCAAGGCAAGAAATGTAGACGCACATCAAGCTAACCTGAATCAAGCATTAAAAATATTAAGATCGGACAGACATGAGGGGAATAATGAGCAGCTGACAGAGAAGTAAGGACAAAAACATGTTCTGAGAAGGACAAAGAGGTTATTGGTAGAAGGTAAATAAACACAAAAGGCAGTGAGATGGCAAACAGAGACAACAAACAGAAAAACAAAGAAATACAACAAAGCAGTAATTCAGAAACACACACAAAAAGCAGCGATAAAAACATAAAGCACAACAGATCAAGCAGAACTGAATAAAACCTGAAACAAGACTGTAACGAACATCGCAACAATCCATCTCCTGTGTGAGATCTGTCACAGCTTGCCCCAAAACAATGTTGACTTTTCCTATTTTATCAGCAAAGAGACGCCGTTTGTTTAATCTGAGGAGAGAAGAGTTGCGGGACACATGAGGGAGAAGCAGACCGACAACAACAGATAATGTGCTTTTGCTGTTGCCGGTGTTGCAATCTAACAAACGCTACGCTCTCGGTGTGGCGTCACGCCGTGTTTGTCTTCACCAGCATTATTAGTGAGGCAGCTTAGAGGAGGAACCGGGTGCGAATCAGTGTTTCTGCCAGGACTGTTTAATGTAACACTTTATAACGTGTCCCTCTGTCCTGCCCTGAAATGTTTTATTCATGATATTTATTCATAGAAACTGAAAGTACTCAATCCAAAATCCTCTCAGGTTCCTTTTTACTGGACTTCTTTCCACATTTCATGCTCTCCCTGTTACTCGTTTCCGTTCACCTCGCGTACCTGTGGCCTACTTTTTTCATTTCTCATCCTGCCTTCATTCATACAACATACACGCATAAAAATACCCGTCTGCCTCGCTAGGACTTTTAGCCCGTGCTGAATTATTTACGGCCACATATCTGCGCCACATCTCCTGACCAAGACAAGTGCTTTTATTTCCAACCCTGAGTGAGGGAATCCAGATGCTACGTTTTTTTTTTACTCTCGCTGGTATGACCCTCTCAGTGGAGAGAGGTTGATGGAGTCAAGGTGATGAGAGGCTTTCTGGGAGCTTCCAAGAGGCAGGAGTGTAAATATTATATCTTCAGTATGAGGTCAACGAGGGGAAAAAAGACAGCATAGCTTTGTGAAGGAAGGAGGTCAGGGACAGAAGAATGCTTGCCGTCTTCATTGAATCACATCAAGTTTCCTCAACGACTTTCTTGTATAAAACATGAAAATCTGATGCAACGCATCACACAAATGATCGTCCAGTTCATGGACTCTTACAACAGCATTCAGAAAAGATTGGAGGGGAACCGCACTCTGACAGCTACAGTAAATTGAACAGGCCTTGGAGCTGTAAGGTGAGATGATGCAACAGAAAACAGTAGCAGCTGTTTATTGTGCACATAATTTACACAAAGTTGTAAAACAGCTGCGATCCAAAACGTTCTGGAAAACTGAGTATTATTATTTTGATTTAGAAAACATTAATTTTCTGTACGTTGAGGTGTAATCCAAACACCGTGGCGCAAAGGGAATAAACTAAATTAGGCTGCTTCCATGATGGAAACCCTCCATCATGTCAGCGTCTGAGCTGTAACGTAAAAAAATAAAAACTCCAAACGTTAACGCTCGTCTGAAATGTCAGGATTGTTCGGTCACTTGAGGCTCCTGCGTCCATGTGTTGTTCTATTTCGTATAGGCTCCGCCCTTTAAGGCTATTGCTAGTGGGTTTATCCCTACGCGTGCAGCGCAGCACTGAAAACTTTAGTCCACGCCCAGCTTGATCATCTTACGGTCATCTTATGTTGAGAAATGACAAAGTTATTGTTAAGGTTTGTAGAGCAGGACCCAGAAATGCAAACAAACACAAAGATCTTGGACAAAAACTTTAACTTCTAATAAATAAAAAGCTTGTGAGGCAACAATCAGAAAAGAACAAATAATTCAAGAAAGCAGGACCTGACAGGGCATGAAGCTCGCAACAGTTGATGAAGACAGAAATCGAGTATAAATGGAGCTGATGAGAAGAGTGGAGACACCTGGGCCAAATGACAACAGAGAACAGGTGTGGGTGGGACAGAACTGGGGCGTGGCAATGGAAATATAGTGAAGATGGCTGGAAACACAAAGAGGCAAAAGAAAAAATGAATCACAAACAAATTACTGAAACAAAACATCACAAGAATTAAACATAAAGGTCAAATTCAAAATAGAAAACTAAAAATTGAAGTATCACGGATCATGACAGCTGTGGCCATTTTTAGTCAAACCTGCGGTTTTGTGTGATCTTCAAAAAGTGACCTGTCTGTTTTAAACGACTCTTGTCCACTAAAACCTAAAGTTGTAGCTCAATATATGTGAAGCTGATTCATTTTAAAGTAGATTGACCCAAAAGATAACTAGAGGAATTCCATTTCCTGCAAAAATGCATTGTGAATGCTTATTGCTGAAGAA